CCCCGCTGGTGTGGCAGAGCGGCCGGGGCGCCCGGGGCTGGGAAGAACCGCGGGGTCTGGGGGGTCTCTGCTTTTGTGGGGTGGCCGGGGGCTCTTGGGGGGCAGGACAGGGTAGGAGAGGGGGTGGTTGCGGGTGCCCAGGCAGGAGAGCAAGGCCCCGCTGGCCCCGCTCGCCGCCCACGCTGCCGTAGGAAGAAACTCTTGTTCTTGCTCCCTGAAGGACCAGGCTCAGACTGGACCCGGCACACCTCTCACTCCAGTGACTGCCCCCCAGGCCAGCCCACCATGGGTAAGCTCACGGGGTCAGAGACATGGGCCCTGCAGCGGGACGGCATGGGGGACACGGGGCATTGGCCCCTGGGGGCACGGCAAACATCCCTCTGCTTTTGAGCAAAGGCATGAGGGGGCTCAGGGGCTCAGGGCTCTCGTGGCACAGGGCCATGGGCCGGCCACGGGCGTCAGGGCTGTGCCAGCAAGGACTCGCTTCCCCGGCATTTTGGAGAAGGCGTGAGCCACTGTCCCGGTGGTGTGAGGCACCGGGATGCTCCCGGGAAGAGGCACACGCTACTCCAGTGGGCAGGAGGGGGCCTGCAGGTGCAGGCAGGGGATGGAGAAGCCCCTTGCAGTGCTGCCCAGAGCGAGGGCAGCAGCTCGCCTTCGCTTTCAGCCCTGCCGACTGACCGCCCTCAATCTCTCCTTTGTTACAGATTTTGTCGGCCCTGCCATCGGAGTGGCCGTAGGGATCGGTAAGGTGGTGGTGGGCACAGGGATGGCTGACGCCATGTGGAAATAAATCACTTTCTGGGGGCTTCACGCTGCTGCTCTGCACACACAGACCCCTCTTGGGGGGGGCCGCCCCTGCACCAAAACGCTGTCCCTCGGTCTGTCCCAGGAAGCCCATGTGCAGGACCCCCTTGATGCCCCGGCTGAGGAGGTTTGGCCCTGGGACCCTGCACCACCTGCTCTGCTCCGGGCTGCCCCAGGCGAGCTGGAGCTCTGCCTCCACACACCCCCTTGTTTCGGGGCTGGGGGATGCACGTGTCTGAGGAGCGACCCGGGGCTGAGGGTTTTGCAGCCTGGGAACACGCATGTGTCTGCCGGAGCGTCACCACTGCTGCTCTCTGACGCAGGACTCACCGCTGCGATGCCGGCAGCCCTGTATGCTCTGGGCTTCACCAAAGCAGGAATTACAGCCGGAACCATGGCCGCCAGATTGATGTCTCTAGCTGCCATGGCCAATGGCGGGAGTGTGGCTGCTGGGAGCCTGGTGGCCATAGCGCAGTCGCTGGGTGAGTGCTCCCAGCGTGGTGCTGTGGGGTGCCCATGGGGTCGCCACAGCACATCCCATGTTTCGGCCTCCCCGGGCGGTACCAGCAGAGCGGCGAAGGCCTGGGGTGGCCATGGGAGTGGGTACCCCCAGGGTGCCACCTGCTCTGGGGTGCCCGGTGCGGCCTTGCTGGCTGCGCTGGCCTGGCTGCGGGGATGCCTGATGGCAGCAGGGAGGCGAGGTCTCGGGGGGGCTGCTCCTCCTCGGGGTGCTCCCCCAGGAAATGGGGCACAGTAGGGGCCCCATGCCGGGGCTGGGCTGGGGGGCTCGGCTGATTTCTCCTCTTCTTCCTCAGGGGCAGCAGGAGTCCCCACAGCTGTGACGGTTGCCCTGTCAGCTATCGGGGCGGTCATCGGGGCAATGATCCCCCGGATCAGAGCCCTGCTGTGATCCCCCGGATCCCCACCGGGACCCTCACTGATGTCTGCCGTGACCCCCCACCC